GGGGGTTTTGAGGGGGAATTTGGGAGGTTTGGGGGAGTCTGGAAGGAATTGGGGGGTCTCGGGGAATTGGGGGGGTGTGGAGGGGGAATTTGGGGGAGTCTGGGGGGAATCTGGGGGTTTTGGGGAGGAATTTGGAGGGTTCTGAGGGGAATTTGGGGGGAATTCGGGGCGTTTGGGGGAGTCCGGGGGGAATTTTGGAGGAGAGTTTGGGGGGGAATTTGGGGGGTTTTGAGGGTCCCCCAGACACCCAAATACCCTCCCAATTCCCAAATTCCCCTCCCAATTCCCAAATTTCCCTCCCAATCCCAAATTGCCTTCCCAATTCCCAAATTCCCCTCAATTCCCAAATTTCCCTCCCAGTTCCCAAATTTCTCCCCAATTCCCAAATTTCCCTCCCAATTCCCAAATTTTCCTCTCAATTCCCAAATTCCCCTCCCAGTTCCCAAATTTAACCCCCAATTCCCAAATTTCCCCCTCAATTCCCAAATTTCCCTCCCAATTCCCAAATTCCCCTCTCAATTCCCAAATTCCCCTCAGAATTCCCAAATTTCCCCCCCAATTCCCTCTCTTTTCCAGCCTCTGGCTCCCTGGGATCTCTCCGGGAGGATTTGGAGCAGCAGGAAAAGGAGAGGGAATTTTTCCATCAGGATTTTCCGAAGGGATGGAGCTCGGGAAGGAGGAAGGAGGAAAACGGGAATCCCCTCAGGGTGAGTCTGGGGGGGGTGGGATTTAAACATTCCAGAGGCTCCCTGGGGCTGGAATTCCCCTCTGGAATTGCCTGGAATGTGTCCTGGTTTTTCCCTGGGGATGGAATTCCATGAAAACCTCTCATTCCCTGTCCTCTTCCCACTTGGAAAATGAATTCCAGGCTCTCCCTGGAGCCAGAATTCCCATCCTGGAATTCCCTCTTCCCCCGCCAGGGGTGCTGGCCCAGCTGGAATCCCTGGAACGCCGGGAAGGGCTGGAATTACGGGCTCGGGAATGTCGGGATCGTCGGAAATTTCGGGAATTCTGGCTGCGATGCCGGGCTCGGGAATTGCGGCTCCGGAGGGATCGGCTGCGGGAAAAGCTGGAGAGGCTGGAAAAGCAGGTCTGGAAAAATGGGAATTCTGGGAATTCTGGGAGCGGCTTTTCCCAGGAAATCTCAGCTGTTTTATCCCCTGGGAATATCCAAAGTTTGGGATAATCTGGGATGTTCCTTTCCTGGGATTTCTGGGAATTCTGGGAATTCTGGGAGTGACTTTTCCTGGGAAATCTCAGGGCTTGGGATATCCAAGGCTTGGGATAGTTTGGGATGTTCCTTTTCCGGGATTTCTGGGAATTCTGGGAATTCTGGAGCAGCTTTTCCTGGGAAATCTCAGGGCTGTTCCATCCCTTGGGAGTATCCAAGGTTTGGGATAATCTGGGATGTTCCTTTTCTGGGAATTCCAGGATTTCTGGGAATCCTGGAATTTCTGGGAGCGGCTTTTCCCAGGAAATCCCAGCTGTTTTATCCCCTGGGAATACCCAAGGTTTGGGATAATCTGGGATGTTCCTTTCCTGGGATTTCTGGGAATTCTGGGAGCGGCTTTTCCTGGGAAATCTCAGGGCTGTTTTCCCTCCTTTCTGGGATTTCTGGGAATTCTGGGATTTTCCTGGGAAATCTCAGAGCTGTTCCATCCCCTGGGAATATCCAAGGTTTGGGATAATCTGGGATCTTCCTTTTCCGGGATTTTTGGATTCTCCTGCTCCTTTTCCCGGATTTTCCAGGCGTCAGGAAAAGCGGGAACGGCTCCGGATCCGACCCCTCCCGACCCTCGGGATATCCTGGAATGGCGGATCCGGAGTCTCCGGGCGCTGCTCCGGCTTTTCCACCTCACAGGTGACAATTCCAGGAGGGATTTTTGGGAAAAGGAGAGGGTTTTTTTTTTCCAGGGAAAAGGGAAGGTTTGGGAAGCTGAGAGGGCTGGGAAAAGTGGGAATTGCGTCGTTTATCCAGGGAATCTGGGGGAATTCTTGGGAACTAGGGGGGAAATTTGGGAATTGGGAGGGAAAATTTTGGGAATTGGGAGGGGAATTTGGGAATTTGGGAAGTTAATTCTGGAATTGAGAGGTTCATTTGGGAAGTTGATTTGGGAATTGGGAGGGGAATTTGGGAGTTGGAAGATTAATTTGGAATTTGGGAAATTAATTTGGAATTTGGGAGGGAAATTTGGGAATTGGGAGAGAAATTTTGGAATTGTGAGGGGAATTTGGGAATTGGGGGGGAAATTTGGGATTTGGGAGGTGAAATTTGGGATTTGGGAGGTGAAATTTGGGATTTGGGAGGTTAATTTGGGAAATTTGGAGGTTTCCTTGGGAATTGGGAGGTTCATTCTGGAATTCCACATTCCCAGGGATCCCTGGGAATCTCTCCCATCCCTCATTCCCTGCCATTCCCTGCCATTCCCAGGGATCAGCGGGAAGCTCTCCAAGCAGGGAATTGTCCTCACCCTCAGCACTTCCTACGAGAATTCCCAGCTGGATTCTTTCCACCTGGAACTCCGAGCCCATCCCCAGCTCCGGATCCATCGCCATTCCATCCCCGCCTTCATCCCCCTGGAGAGGCTTTCCCGGGAATTCCTGCCCGGGAATCTCCGGCTCTTCCTGGATTTGCTCTCCCGGCACCTCAATGGATTCGTGGGGAGGAAATTCCAGGCCGAGCAATTCCAGGTGCTTGGGAATGGCTGGGGGGATTCCAGATCATCCTGGAGAGTTGGGAGGGGCTGGAATTCCGTAGGGAATGGGGAGAGGGGAAGATGGGAGAGCTGGGAATGGCCAGGCTGGAGAAGGGAAGGATCCAGGAAAAACCTCGGGAAGGAATTCCCAGGCTGGGCTGGAATTCCCAGGGAAGCTGTGGCTGCCCCTGGATGATCCCTGGGAATACCCCAGGCCGGGCTGGATCCACCTGGAATAGCAGGACATGAATCCTGGGAACGGCTGAGGTTGGAAAAAAAATCCCTCTGGAATCCTCAATCCAACCATTCCCAGCCCTGCCAGGAATTCCCAAGGGCCACATCCCCAGGGATGGATTGGGAATTCCCTGCAGGGACTGATTGGGAATCTCCCCCTTTCCCTGGGAAGTTCATTCCGGTGCCCGACAGCCCTTTCCAGGCGGGAATCGTTCCCGATATTCCCGCTCTCCCATCCCAATCTCCATCCCTGCTCCCTCCAGGAACGCTTCTCCGACTGGATCCAAGGAATTCCCCACCGGAATTCCTTGTGCAACCTCCTGAAATTCCGCTACAGCCTGACCAGGAAGAGCCGGAATTTCCCATTCCAGGCCCGGCTCCTGTACCGGGATCCCTGCAGGAGCCTCCCGACGGATGTATCCGTGTCCTGCTCCCGTGAGTTGGGATTTCCTGCCGTTCCTTTGGGATTGGGAGGGCTGGGAAATGGATCTGGGGGGGGGTTTTCCAGTCTGGAATTCCCTGCTGGGAAGGGAGAGATGTCCCCAATTCCCAGGGAATGAGGGATGGGAGGGGAGGGAATATCGGGAACAATTCCCACCTGGAAAGGATTGTCCATCCCTGGAATTGCTGGAATCCCATCCCTGGAGGGATTTGAGATCCCGGAATCCTGGGAGTGGTTGGGATCCTCACTCCAAGACAGGGAGGGGCTGGAATGTTTTCCAGGGAAAGGGATGGAATCAGGGAAGGGGCCTGGAGCAGCGGGAATAATTCCCAGGGAACGAGGGCCAGGAGGGAGAGGGAATATCGGGAACAATTCCCACCTGGAAAGGGCTGGAATGAACTTCCCAGGGCAGGGCTGGATTCCCAATCAATCCCTGCAGGGATTCCCAATCCATCCCTGGGGATGTGACCCTTGGGGATTCCTGGCAGTGCTGGCAATGGTTGGACTCCGGAATTCCGGAGGGATTTTCCCACCCTGAGCCATCCCTGAGGATTCTGTCCCATCCTGGCACTGTCCCAGCATTCCAGAACCCGCCGTCAGGAATTTTCCCGGATTCCTGGATCCCCCAATTCCCAGGGAATGAGGGCCAGGAGGGAGAGGGAACAACCTGGAGATTCCGGTGGGATCTTGGGAACGATTCCCACCTGGAAAGGGGCTGGCAGGGCTGGATCCCCCATCCCTGCAGGTTTTTCGGGACACTCTGGGTGTGGGATCATCCCCTTGGATCCGGGATCGGGGCCGGATGATCCCGGAGCTTCTTTCCCGACGCCGATCCGGCGGAATTCCCCTTTTCCAGCGGATTCTCCGGACGCTCCGGCGGCGCAGTTGGAGCAGCACTCGGAGCTGTTCCGGAAGGTTCCGCTCCACAGGGCGTTCCAGAGCCTCGCCGGAACTCCCTGAGCCCCCTCCGGAATCCGAGCGGGAATTCCGACGCCTTCCCGACCGACCACCCCTCCCCCACCCCTTCCCGCTCCGGCTTTTCCATGGATCATCTCGGGATCTTGGAATCTCTCCCTTGTTCCAGCCGTGGAATTCCTGCTTCTGGATAAAAAAAAATCTGGGATTTGGAGTTGGGAAGTGGTGTCGGAATTCTGGGATTTGGAGTGGGAAATGGTGTCGGAATTCCGGGATTTCCAGTGGGAAACGGTGTCAGAATTCTGGGATTTGGAGTGGGAAATCATTCTGGGAATTCCGGTGGGAAACGGTGTTGGAATTCCGGGATTTCCGGTGGGAAACAGTGTCGGAATTCCAGGATTTCCCATGGGAAACAGAATGATTTCTGGGAATTCCGGTGGGAAACGGTGCCGGAATTGTGGGATTTGGAGTGGGAAATGGTGTTGGAATTCCAGGATTTCCAGTGGGAAATGGTTCCAGGATTTCCTGTAGGAAATGGAGTCGGAATTCTGGGATTTGGAGTGGGAAATCATTCTGGGAATTCCGGTGGGAAACGGTGTCGGAATTCCGGGATTTCCGGTGGGAAATGGTGTTGAAACTCCAGGATTTCCAGTGGATCATTCCCAAAAAAAAAAAGAAGGGAGCACATGGAGTT